GGAGGATATTGCTCGAGACATGGCCTCGCGAAGTATTGCCAGAACTGACGCCACTTTTCACGAGAGTATAGCACGCCTTTAACTTGACAGCGTTGTTTAGTTTTGGCCTTGACTCATGCCACCCCCTGTACGCTGATCAAATCTGGATTTACCACTGTTAGCATGTCTAGAACCCCAAAGACCATTGCAATTTGGCTTCAGCGTCAGGCAACCGGTAAGCCTTCATTTTCCTTCTGCATGCCTGCTTAAAATGGAACAAACATCCAATGATCTTTGTCTTTGGGAAGTGTTCTCGGATAGTAAAAATGATGGCAGCTTCAAAGTCACACACTACATCATTGGGGCTGGACTTTCTTACTACTGCGAATTCGACGCAGTAAAACAATTTCTTGTAGGAGTCCTGGGTTTGAGACGTCGTCAAAGTGAAAATTAGCGGCGCAAATAACTCAGTCAGCGGGTCGTACATCATTAACGTGACAACTTGGTGATATCCCTTTGGTGGACTACGAAATGTGCCGTCAACAAACAAGTGTACGCCGTAGTAGAGAAGGAAATTCTGTAGTTCGAGTTGGGCCCACCCAATCAGCCAAACCAACCCCGATTTTCCATGCGTGATCTTGGTGTCATCTAGCCATGCATAGTTGAACACGAGAAACCCCAGCTCCGCGTTCTTCACTTTGGTCATGCTCGGCGACTGGATCATAGAAAATAGGTCCTTGCCGTTCTGAGCTGCGCGGACATTGTTAGTTCGTGTAATAATCTGCTTCTTTTTAAGACCACGGATAACGCCAATAGAGTTCTCGTAAAATTTTCGGTATGTAAGCTCCCAAATCTTGGTTGGCGACTCGTCCGTTGTGCCCACTAGTTCGTCCACGAAGCTCTTCATTGCATCTGTCAGGTCAAGGCAAACCGATTCATCACTTACGGCTGCAGTGCGGCCACTTGCAAAGTCGTTTCGGCAAGTATGATGAATAATGTTGGCAAAATCGTAGGCCATAGTCTCGGCATGAAACATCAGTTGCGCTGGGCACTGCTTTGGCTTCCGATAATAGATGCATCTGTAGGTGATCTTCACACCTGTTGCGTTTGCTAGTGTGTACTCGTATCCCGTACAATATATCTTCGTTCTACTTTCTCGCTCGGTCGAGCGCGGCCTTGTCGTTGCTGTAGATGAGGCTAAGGTTGGTGTACATGGAACATTAGGGTGTTCACTGGCAGAGTTGCTGGCTTGGAC